TTCTGACTTGGCCCATGTTTCCCTGCACTGTTCTTGGACTGAGATGGCATCAAACCAGGGGGCTAGACAGAAACGCTGTAAGTGGTAAGTTTACAGTTTTAAATTCGCCTAAGCACTACCACCACTAAGCAATACTTATATAGAACTTAATTTAAAGTCTCATAGAGACCCTATAGGACAAGGTAGATCTCCCTGTGGGTTTAGAAGACTACAACTATTAACAGAATTAGAAAGCCCAGTCTTTCTCCCAAGAACGGGCTGGTGGTTTCAAGCTTCTGACCTTGCGCATCACAGCCCAACTAGCAGTCTCTATGCCACTGATGGGTCAGCATTGACTAGATCACAATGGGTTTGATTTTTGGTAATAAAAAGTACTTTCAGAGCCTGGTGCACAATATCTTAATTTCATCCTCAAAAGCAGATTTGATAGGTTGTACTTTCGCTACTATTTTATGGGTCAATAAACTAAGACACAGGTTAAATATCTTGGCATAGGTTGTTCAGGTAAGTGGAGGATTTGAACCCAGGTTCCTGAGTCAGTATTCTTAACCACTTTTCTATAAATGGTTTGACTAAATCTATTTGCTCTTTTTGAGCATTTCCTCGGGACAGAACTTCCTACTGTCCACAAAACTAATGCTATCAGCTGACCACAGTAACAGAAGCAAGCCTTAGGCGATAGGCAAAGCCTGTTATCTGTGAGTCAACAGGAGATGGGTTCTTTCTTGTCTCTAGATAGCCCATGAAGAACAATTAGAGAGCTATTGCTCCATGGGCCCTGTCTGAAGCCTGATTCAAATAAATCATCTGTGAAAGCATATGGGGTATTTGGGACAATATGGCATTGACAGAATCATTGATGATATTAAGAAATTGCTGTTATGGTATGGCATTTTGATTCGGCTTTTTAAGAGTTCTTACCTTTTGGTGGGAACACGTGATGAACTGCATTGGAGAAACCTACTGTACAAGATCTCTTTGGGGTGTTGAAAAGCAAGGATGTTATTTTGAGGACTAAGATGTGTCTGATCCAAGCCATGGTATTTTCAACTGCCTCAAATGCACATGAAAGTTGAATAAGGCAGACCAAAGAAGGTTAATGCATTTGAATGATTGTGCTGGTGAAAAATATTAAAAGTACAATGAGGGGTGGGAGGGGGATAAAAGCACTACAGACTGCCAGAAGATCCAAGAAATCTGTTTGGGAGCAAGTACAGCCAGAATGCTCCTTAGCAACAAGGATGACTAGATGTCATCTCATGTATTTTGGACATGTTATCAGGAGAGACCAGTCCCTGGAAAATAACATCAGGCTGTACTGACACAGCGGCTGCATCAACGGGCTCAAGTATTACAACTGTGAAAATGGCGCAGCACTGGGCAGTTTTCATTCTGTTGTTCGCAGTCACGTTGTTAAGAGGTGGAGCCTCAGAACCAACTGGATGGCACCTAACAGCAACTTCATCTTTGGGTGATAAATGAAGATAATACATGCACGAGCTTATGCGTTGTCTAGGATTTCCTTCAAATAATTCAGTGAGGAAGGTTTGGGCGCAGGCGAGGTGTGCACAGTGACACAATTTGGTCCCGTGTTGATCATTGCTAAAGCTGGGTGTTTGGGGGTTATACTATTCTATTCTTTTATATTTTGATTTTTTACAATGAAAATACCCTTAATAGCTATTGTTCATGTATAAAATAATTTCTACTTAGTGACTCTCTTTCAAACCAGTAGCCTTTGGGGGTTGGCTAAGTCTTAGCAAAAACATCTCAGAACAGGAAAGAATAGTTCTTGCTTTTATAAATCTCCCATTCTAGCAGGAAACAGGGAGATTCAAGAGGCAAATGCACAGCTGCCTTGTTTGAGGAATAGAGAGCTAAAGATGGTGGTAGCCTTTCTCAACAAGAGAGGTAAGCTCTCATGCTTCAGCATGGCACTGAATTCTCTCCTAGATGGCACTGCTATGACTCGCCCTTGAGAACAGAGGAAAGCGTCTCTCACACCTTTCCTGTGCTCTGCGGTTCTGAAAGGCTGGCTGAGAAAATCTGACCTCTCTGAAAACAGAAAAAAAAATAGACTGCTACTTGACTTTTGGCTTAGTAACTAGTTGACATTATTATACGGCAAAAAATCGTAAGCCACCCAAGTGTTTGGTCAATGGCGGTAAGAAGAGAATCAAACAAGAAGAATGAACCCGAAGTTCATTTCCCTGCAGAAAGGTTAAGAATGCTACAGTTAAGAGCCTAATCCCCAAACGCATTGCCCTCCACTGGATTCCGGCTCACAGTGACCCAAGACAGAGCAGGGCTGCCCCACAGTGTTTGCAGGATTGTAGTCTTTCTCCTGAGGAGCAGCTGGTGGGATCAATGCCAACCCTTTGGGTTGGCAGCAGAGTGCTTAACCACCGTGCCACTAGGAGTTATCAACCTTATATAGCAGTGGTTCCGACAGTGGGTGCTCCCCCTGCCACCTCACAGATGCTCCAACACTCATACTTTATCCTGGCTATATTGGCACTGAGTAATTTTTCTGAAAAGTAGGTGGTAGGCCAAGTAAGTTTGGGAACCTATGCTATACAGAGTTTGAGACTGTAAATCTTTACAGAAGCAGACAGCATCATCTGTTTCCCCAGGAGCAGATGGTGATTTTGAACCACACACCTGTCTGTTAAGCCACCTACTTATTCCACAGTGCCCTCCTTCAATAAACCAAAAACCACTACCATCAAGTCCCTCCTAACTGAGAGTGACTCTGTATAGCAGTGGTTCTCAACCTTCCTAATGCCGTGACCCTTTAATACAGTTCCTCATGTGGTAGTGACCCCCAACCATAAAATTGTCTTCATCACTCCTTCATAACAGCAATTTTGCTACTGCTACAAATTGTAATGTAGATGTCTGAAATGCAGGATGTATTTTCATTGTTACAAATTGAACATAATTAAAGCATAGTGATTAATCTCAAAACAATATGTAATTATATATTGTGAAATATTTATGTTTTCCAATGGTCTTAGGTGACCTCTGTGAAAGGGTCATTCGACCCCCAAAGGGGTCGAGACTCAAAGGTTGAGAACCAGTGCACAGGGTTTCTAAGTTTGTTCACCTTGATGGGAGTTGACAGCCTCATCTTTCTCCCAAAGAGTGGTTAGTCGATTGGAACCACCAACCTTAAGATTAGTATGTCCAACACTCAAACGGCACCACCAGGTAACCAAGTTAAATAGCTGAGTCATTTCTAATTGATGGGAAAATGTCAAAGCTATTTCTTCTAAGTGCAACAAATGTTAACTTTCCATTATATAAACCATATATATTAATCTACACACATTTCTCAGCACACCCTAAATCATAGGCTCCCAAACTCATTTGGCCTATTGCCAATAACTTCAGGGGGTGAAATAAAATTACTTGGCACCCTCTTGGTGATTAAACACTTTCATACCCATAACCCAGGATAAAGTGCAGGGATCTGCTTTTTCAGTCCCTTGGGATCGATCGTTCCAGTATCCCTAAAGGGCCTGCATATCACTGACTTTGGGAAACACTGCTCTAAAACTCTAAACAGGAAACATTTCTTTCAACTGAGACTTTAGTTTCAAAATAACACTTTTAAGGGATATAAAGTACAATTTCAACCAATTTTCAAGATACTTTCTAATGTCATAAAATAAGATATACTTTTAAATTTCAATAAGTGATAGGGTACATGACCAGTCCTCGTCTTTAAAGCTAATAAAGAAATATATTCTGTATTTTTCTGATAAAGCCTTTAAGTAACAGGAATCAATTGATGTATTTTTCCTCTAAGATGATAAAAAGTTTGAAACAGAAAAAAATAAAGGATAACTGTAGTGTTTGACTATAATTTCTATTAAAACTTTTAACTTAATATATTCGACATTTTATGAAATTAGAACTAAGTACACACCACCTGCACCTCCCAAAAAGACTACTACCCTCTGAAACTTCTGAGCTTTTTGAAACCTAGTTTTTAAAAAAATCTGGCATAGAGACACTTTAGGGCCCATTTTGAAACACAAGTAAAAACCCGTTTGAAACTTGCATAACAACTTAAAGAAAGAGGAACTGCTCCAGAATAAGAGGGAATTTACAAGTCAACATCCAAAACTCCCAGATACACCAATGCACATTCTCCACAAGAAGTTAAAGATAGGGCAGGGGGTGTTAATCATTTGGTGGCGATATAATTCAATCCATTTCCAAAAACAAAGATAAATTATGTACTGCTGTAATAATATTTCCCATAAACACACCAAAAGAAGTTTTTCTTGACTCGGGTTTTCCTAAATCGTGGGCTAATAATTTTGGCTTGCACTGTTCCTTTGCAAAGAAAGAATTCGCCCAAGGTCTGAAACGTCTTCGTTATCTAGAAACGGCAAACCGCACTAGAGGTTTTACAGCAATGGGTGCAACGGCTTGAAGTACCTGCTTCTTTAACGTTTCGCAGTCATTCCATTGGCGGCATCCTTAATTGCACAAACCCGGCAAATCACTCCCCGTTCGATTCCAGGCGGCAGTTACACACAGTGCCCCGAGTCATTAGTCACTGACTCCACCCTGAAGTCTCTCCACTTGTACTTCCACAGGAATGTGTGGTCAGGCTACAAGTCTCTCTCCCAGACAAGGCTCCAGAAGTGCATTATAAAAATTGGGATGACAGTTTTTCACCGCTGGTTTTTAGGACAGACTTAAAATTCTCCGCCCAGAGCTTCATCCACAGGACAGGAACGACAACAACAAATGGCAGATGCCCCCAGACGCAGACGGGCCACCCCCGCCCCTCTCCCACCAGGCTCGTGCTGGGTCATTAGCAAACACACGACCCTAACGCCGACCCCCGCCCCAACGTGCACACTGCGCACGCGTGCGCACGCGCCTCCGCCCGGGGGTCCCAGGAGTTGACTGAAGGTGGGAAGGGAAGGTTGGGGCCGAGGGGGTCCCGGTAGCCTGTCTCCCGACCCCGCAATTTTTCTCACCTCGGTAAACGGATCCATCGCCCCAGGTGCGGCGTGTCAACCGTAAGGCGACGGAGACGGTGGTTCGAATTCAGGAAAAGAAGCAGTGAGGCTGTGTACGTCTCGTGGAGACAACAAGGAGTCCGGGGTAGGGGAAATGTCCCACGCTCTTCTCGGCCTCCAGTGTCAGGCTCGGCCTCCTGCAGCCGTTCAAATTTGAATTTCAGCGCTCGGAGCGGGGCGCATGCGCGCTGGGCTGGGCAGGGCGGGGTGCTTCTCGCCGCCTCGGCTCTCGATCACGTGGTCTCGCGGAGGCCGGGAGGTTCTTGGAAGTGACCACGCCCCACCTCAGTCGTGGCCAATCAGGGCTGCCGAGTGGGTCGGGAGGTTGGGCTTTCTCGGCGCTGCAACCGCCGCTCCCAGCAAACCTAGAGGTTGTGCTTAGACGCGGAGCCTGGAGTTCCGAGCCCCACCCGTTGTGCTCACACTTGCTAAGAGTTTAAACATGTCCCTTTCACTCATAGGACTTGGGCGTTCCCGCCTTCCTTCATTCCTAAATATGGAATCGAGAGCACTTGGGTTTGAAGCGTGGCTCACTTGCCCTCCATCGATTCTCTCTCAAAAAGGCGTGGTCCTTCCTGAATGCACAGGTGGTGGGTCCTAAAACACTTGGAGCTAATGACCCTGGTTTCTGGAGGACTTTATCTAGAAAACTGCGTGAACAACACAAAATCCTGTCATGCGGCCCATTTTAGATTCCACCCAACTGTTAATGTTAGGACTGGGGAAAAAAATCAGAAAAGCCATCTCGTTTAGTCCTTTTATAGTAAAAGAAAGACGAGAGAGATTAAGTAACTGGTCCTAGAGAAAGGAAAATTTCATCCTCAACTCATGCTCCGCTATCCACCACTCGACCAAGCTGTGCTTTATGAATATTCTTAATAGATTACTGAGCATTATAAACGCATATTACCTAGTTACTGCATTAGATTCATTTCTTGTTTAGCAAGTCTGGGGTAGGGCTTGTAAAGGTAACAGTTCTTAACACATTCATCTGAAAAGTAACACCCATGTAGATTACATCCAATAGCTGAACACACCTAAATGTACCCCAAAGTAAGATGTTTCAGTACTTCTAATAAACTTGCATTTTAGCAGACAACAAACATTCGAAAATGTATGTCACCAAAGATATCTTTAAAGTTTGATGTTCTAAATCACAGGTTCCCAAACTTAATTGGCCTACCACCCACCCTCTTTTCTGGAAGAAAAATTACTCAGTGTCCCCCTATCAATTAAAAATTGTGTACTGTACCCCATAATTCAGGATAAAGTATAGATATCTGCGTGTTCCTAGCTGCCCACTTTGGGAAGCACTGTTCTAGATATTTTATCAGGTAGGGTTCTACAGATAAAACTAGTAGGATGTATAACAAGGAAAAAATCCAGACCAGCAGGATTGGACCCTTAGAAAGGAGTTGCTGTGTAATCCTGAGGCAGAATTTCTTCTGAGTAGATGAGGCCCACCTGCGTAATCTCCTTAAGTTCAATTTACTGGAGATATTAACCACAACTACAAAATACCTCCACACCAACACCTAGATTAGTATTTTATTAAGTAACTGGGTAATATAGCCTAGCCAAGGGACTCTGATGGTTAACTCTTTGAATCCAGCAGCAGCTCCGTGAGGTAAACATGTCTGCCAATCTGTTCCCATAAAGATTCAACAACAACAAACACTCACTGCCGTCGACTCTGTTGTGACTCAGCCACCACCCTATGACTACTGTAAGGATCAACTCCACGGAACAACAGGACAACATGGCTGAGCCAAGTTGAACTGGTGGCAATGAAAAGACTTCGGGCTGAGAGATAGGAAGAATTCGATTGTGGTCCCAGCTTCACCAGGATCCTGGGTAATTAAGCCACTGTTGTTGTTTTTTATAACTTTTGGGGTAATCGTGGCCTCCTTTTAAAATAGATTGAAACTGAACTTCTATATATAAAAATGCCCATTTAATAAAGTATTTAACATAGGATTTCATGAAGTTCCTGGGCACCAGGTCGTTTCTCTGATTTAACTTCTTTGAATTTTTGTCTAGTATTCATTCAAGTGTCCTGAGCATTGGTAAGGTCAGATGAAAATTTGAGAGATACAAAGTGTTTTTTATTAAGTGATAAGACAGCACACATGTATGAAGTATTAATTATTAATTTCATTCAAAATATGCTACTTGTATGACAAAGAAGCTTAGATTTTTAATAGAATTCTTTTTATTTTGTTGAGAATACACAAAACAATATATGGTGCTTTATTTTGTAAGTGTAAGACAGGAAAGGGTAGTGTGGACTAACAGTGGAAAATGAGTCATTAGAAAATTATGTAGCTGTTGTGCCTGAGGCTTTTGCCTCTTGTCAGTTTCCATGTGATAACTGCTTCACACGCGTGAGCCAAGTCCAAAAGAACCATATAGAGCATACAGTGTAATTTAGCCACTCATCCCTCTCAATCCCCCTAGGTCTTTAGTTTTTACCCTAACTTTAATAGTAATAGTAGCCACTATCATCATCACCACAATTGTGTGTGTGTGTTTAAACATTTTTTGCAGGTCAAATAGAGTTTCACTTGTGGCGAATTCATTGGATTTTCTTGGTTGTAACCTTAATAGAAAGGAGTCCTGGTGGCACAATGATTAAGCATTCAACTGCTAACCAAAGAGCTGGCAGTTTGAATCTATCCGCAGTTCTATGGGAGAAAAGACCTGGCGAGTTTTACAGCCTAGGAAACGCGGGGCAGGTTTACTGTCATAGAAGGTTGCTATGGGTCGGAATCAGCTCAAAGGAACACAATAACCATCTTAATGGAGGAAGATCGTGCGTGGGCTTTTCTGTACCACTGGGTGGGTTTGAAAGTCCAACAGTTCCTATTTGTTCAACACAAACTCTGTGCCAGAAACTCTGTTAGGTCCTCGCCTCTGCTCTCCTGGAGGACCACAGTTACCTTCCGACGGGTGTCCTTACTTCCATTCTTAGCCCTTGGCACTTCATGCTCTGGCTTATCATCCAGAATTATCTTCTGTTTTGTGTTATGAAATACTCCTGGTTTAAGATAAAATATTACGTATGTAATTGAAGTCTCCTGTGTCCAGCCTTGGGACACAGGATCCCACCCTCTACCATGCAGTTGTAGAACAATCTTCTGTGGGGTTCCTGAGGCTGTAAGTCTCTATTGGAACAGAGAGCATCATCTTTCTCTCCTCATTTTGATGATTATTCTCATGATGTTTGTATACTTTCACTACAGATCTTTGAGTACATATGTGAAACATATTGTATACTTATGTAACAAAGATATGCAATTTAAAGTGTCTTACATATATTGCTCTACAAACAATAAAACGGTGACATAATTTTTAGCATCTTTTATCATTTTATTGGGAGCTCTTAGAGATATTATAACAATCCATAATTCAATTAGATCAAGCATAGTTGTTCAATTGCTCCCACTATAATTTTAAAAACATGTTCTTTCTTCTTGAACTCTTTGATAGCAGCTCCCCTCTATCCCCTCCTTCCACCTCCCTACCACCTACCAGGAACCCTTATTATTATTATTATTATTATTATTATTATTATGTATTTCTTTTTGCTGTATCTTGCACCATCCAATGAATAGTAACATAAATTTTACCTTCACTTTATGTATCTTTCTTGCTTTTTATTCAATTTGCCTTTTTTCTTTTCTTCTGGATATTATATTTGTAAGAGTCCTCATTGGTATATATAGCTATATTTCATTCATCTTCATTGCTATATTCTCTTATGAATATCTTATAAGTTATTTGTTAATTGTCTTATAAATAAACATTTAACTTATTTCCAATTTCTTTTGTCAATGATCCCATGATACAATGGATAGTTTACCTCGTGTACACAGGTACAGATTTTTCTCTGAGTAATAAACCTGGGATTAGTGGACCATTTAATAATAGATATTTCAATATTTTACCAGGCACTAAAATGTGTTTACCACAGTATAAGAAGATATACAGTACTGCACTTTCTGCCGCGCAGCCATCGAAGAGTAGCAGCCGTGGCTGTGCGCTACCATATGGCCTGGGCCTCGACCATGGCCACAAGGTGACCAAGAACGTGAGCAAGCCGAGGCACAGCCGCTGCCATGGGTGCCTCACCGAGCACCCCAAGTTCGTGCAGGACAGGATCCAGGAGGTGTGTGGCTTCAGCACCCTAAGAGTGAAGGGCATGGGGCTGCTCAAGGTCTCCAAGGACAAGTGGGCACTTAAGTTCAGCAAGAAGCAGGTGGGGACACACATTCACGCCAAGAGGAAGAGAGAGGAGCTGAGCACAGTGCTGGCCACCACGAGGACGGCCACTGCCAAGAGGGACTGAGTGCCACCCTGTCCCCCCCACCCCAGTAATAATAAAGCCTTTCCAGAAAAAAAGAAAGGAAAAAGCCATACCGTAGTCGGTAGTATATGGAGCAAGCCTACTACTCCATAGCTGCCTCAGTAAGGGGACTCTTTTAAACTGTTGCCATTTTTTGTTTATACATAAAAGTATCACATTTTCATTTGCATTTCTAGTGCATTACTAGTGGATTAGAACTTCATATTGGCTTGTGTTACTTGTCTGTGAATTTCAACTTTTATCCTTTTTCTGCTTTTTGGTGTGGTTGGTTTTGTCTTATTCTTTCATTGCCTTTCTTCATTCATGTACTATTTTCTAAGAAACTAAGAGTTAGAAACCCAAAAAGTTAGCATATCTTAAACTGAAAGAGAAAATTCAAGCCTCAAGTATTGAAAGATTCTATGGGCAAAATATTGAATGATGCAGAAAGCATCAAAAGAATATGGAAAGAATATAAGAGTCACTGTACCAAAAAGAACGAGTTGACACCCCACCACTTCAGGAGGTAGTATATAAGCAAGAACCAATAGTACTGAAGGGAGAAGTTCAAACTATACTGAAAGCATTAGCCAAAATCAAGACTCCAGGAATGGTTGGAATACCAGTGGAAATATTTGAAGCTGATGAAGCACTGAAAGCATTCTCATTGCCAGGAAATTTGGAAGGCAGCTACTTGGTCAACTGACGGGAAGAGATCAATATTTGTACTCATTCCAAAGAAAAGTGACCCAATCGAATTATCAGATTATAGAACAATATCATTGCTATCACAAACAAGTAAAATTTTGCTGAAAATCACAACAGTCCCAGCAGTACATTGACTGGGAGCTGCCAGAGATTTAAGTCTGGTTCAGAAGAAGGCATGTGACCAGGTGTGACAGGTAGCTTTGTTGTACCAACATGGCAAATGAACACATACGGGATTAGTTGAAGGGCGGAGAGATAAATGGTTTGAGGAGCCTTGTCTCTCTCTTGCTCTTTGATCATCTGACAAGTGTTCCACTGCCTTGCTTGTTCTGTGCCTCCATTTGCAAGCTACACTATCTGTGGGACGCTTACCCATGGACTGTGTCGCTATAACTTGAGGTTCCTTCAAGACCTGCTTCGCTACGCTACTGAAGGTATATCTCTTGAGCTGAGGACTGTCGGACCCTGTCATCTGGCTGATTGTTGGTGACCTGCTTGCTGTTTGCTGCCTGTGACCAGATAGCCTGAATTGCTCTACAGAGGACTACCTGGCGGCCCTCAAGATTTGAAGGACTCAGGTGTACTAGCTGTCTCATGGAAGTGAGTTGCACTGAACTATTTGTACTGTTTTACAGATTAACTGTTTATTTATTATGTTATCTATCTATGTAAATATTTACAAATTATTAGTGTCCTGGTTTTGTTTCTCCAGAGAACGCTGTCTAACACACAAGGGATATCATTGCTGATGTCAAATGGATCTTGACTCAAAGCAAAAAATACCAGAGAGATGTTTACTTGTGTTTTATTGACTATGCCATGGCATTTGACTGTGAGATCATAACAAATTATGGATAGTCTTGAGAAGAATGGGAATTCCAGCCTACTTCATTGGGCACATGAGGAACTAGTACATGGATCAAGAGGTAGTTATCCAAACAGAATAAGGGACTACTGTATGGTTTAAATCAGGAAAGGTGTGTATTGGGGTTGTATCCTTTCACCATACTAAATCAATTTGTATGTTGAGAAAATAATCAGAGAAACTGGATTATATGAAGAATAAGGCATCAATATTGGAGGAAGGCTCTTTAACAACCTGAAATATACACTGAAAGTAAGAAGACTTAGAGACTTGCTGATGTAGATCAAAGATTGGAGTCTTCATTGTGGATTATGACAATGTAAAGAAGAGCAAAATCCTCACAACTGGACCAATAGGTCATGATGAATATTAAAGGGTCGCAACATGAGGAAGGTTGAGGACCACTGGTTAAAGGAAAGGGAGGTTTATCTGACATCTGCCTCATAGGAATCAGCCTTAGACACTTGATCTTCATGCTTCCTCCGAGTGAAGCCAGAGGAGGTCAGACGCGTCTGCCATGCCATTTTTATATACTCACTGCACTGTATTTTACATATTGAAAACTCAACACTTCATATCTGGATTTCACAGCCACAATTTTATTAGTCCCATCTTCAAGATGTTACCTCTCAAATATACACAAGAGCTGTCGATGTTCCAGTGTACAGCAAAGAACATTGTTTCAATGCCCATCAAAGTCCCTTTACTGAGCATCAAAGAGGATAGCTCCTTAAATTTGCTAGAATGTGCTAGATTCACTGTACACCTATAACTAAGAACTTCAGAAACCTCCCTTGTTATGTACTACTTTCAGGCTATGGCTCTACTCTCTCATTGACCCTGAGACATTTGGTGTTCATGGCATCTCTGTCTCTCCTTTGTTTCTCACAACCGGACATCATCCCTTGCCAGGTACATCACAGGCCCTCAGGAAATGGTTACTGTTGCAGATATGCATCTACCATTGCTGCAAATATCACCCTGATTATAGTGGAGCATACAAAGAGCAAAGTTATGAAAACCTTACACTAAACACCTGGAGGGAATGAGTCACTGTGGAGGCTCCAGAGCACAATCTCAAGGCACACCAAGGTCAACTGTCATTGTGTGTCCCAAACACAATGTTCTACTTTCTATTTTGTGGAGTAGCAACTAGGGCCTAAAAGCTGTGAGCACCTGTGTTAGACAGGGTAAGCTATTGCAGCACCTATCTAAGGTGCAGCTGTTGGTCTCTCGCTGTCCTAAGGCAAGGAGGAAAAATGAAAAGAAAATGTCTGCTGGTGAATTCTCAGTGATTCTAATCTCTACCGCTGGTCTCAGGACTCTCAAACTTTCCAGCTGTATTGACCTCCTCTTCTCCTCTACCCATCCATCTATGAGTATGGCCATTCTCAGAATCTAATCTATAGTTGGAATTGCTTCATTTCCAAGAATTCAAAGTCCAAACTGGCCTCCTGATTCTGTTTGAACCTTACCTCTTTTCTCCTGCTGCTCATGTCTACTGAGCTTGCTAACCCTCCTCATCCTGACTCATTCTCCTCTTAACTTAGGGTCAAATGAAAATGTGATAACTGATGCTTTGTAACTATGCCAGGTATTAGTCCTGACCCCACCCCAACCAAAAATGCCGCAAGAATTTTCCCATGAATTTTGTGCTACATTGAGGTGAAAATATAGAGGTGAATTCACAAAGCAGTCCTTTACTTGACTTACACTTAAGACTTTCTCCCAAATATAGACATAGTGGAGGGGTTGGGGGTGGGGAAGCATTCCATTCTCTTGATCTTCCTTCATGTAGTTAACATCACTGAAAATTTTCTGTTAGGGTTTTTATCAGATAAAAAGAATCAGTCTTTTGGTTAAAAAGATAAAAGGAACATACATATATACATATGAGTCAAGGAATGGCTTTACAGCTGGCCATGAGGCTTTGAGATGTTGCAACTAGAGTTGTCTTGTTCCTTTTATAATAATGGAGCCCTGGTCACACTGTCTTGTAAGTATTGGACTGAAAGGTCAGTGGATCAAACCAGCCAGAAAGATGAGGCTGTCTGCTCAAGGAATGATTTACAACTCCAGAAACCCTCTATAGTACATGGCATGGGGATGTGGACATATCTGACCTCCTCTAGCTTCCCTATTGCCACGAGGCAGGACTCAGACAAGCCTTCACCCTCCATCCTTCTTTACCCTATTCTGACACCAACCATTCCGCCCATGACACTTTACTTCTATGCTGGGCTCCATAATTCATTGCAGTGGCCGCATAGAGCTCACAGATAATACATTTATGGGCCTTTATGAGGGAAGTTAATAGGTTACCAAAAGTCAGGATCGGGTAAAGAGGATACAGTCATTGGTCCACACCACCACCACTCCTCAGCCAGCAGCCAAGACTCTCTGGGCCTCAGCCTCCCAGCCATGTTGTCCCTTGGCATGTGCCTCCTTCTGGAGACCAGAAAGCTCACCTGTCACTCGCCTTACAGTCCTATAGTCTGGTCACTGTTCCCCTGTTCTGTCTCATGGTTTCTGTCCTGTTGTCTCCATGCCACTGTCTCTGGTGTCTCTGGTGTTGGCCTCTGCCACAACAGAGAGAGATCTCAAATGTGGTCTTCTTCCCGTGGTCCTAGGGTTTCCCTGTGTCTGAGATGGCTTTAATATACAGAGGAACACCTCTGATAGCAGATTACAGCAAAGAAAAGATGTGATTTTCTTCACAAACTCTGCCAAAACCAGAAATTAATCCCACCTAAATCTTGTCCCCATTAACATAGTAGAGAATTCCTTCAAAATAAGATTATAGCCAAAGGCATAGAGTCCAGAGTTAGAATACGTCACATAAGGAATCATGGCTAAGAGAACCATATTGACTACTGTGCTGTCTTATTAATGTTCTCTATTTTACTTCTCTGAGTTCTAATATCCATTGCAATGGCTACACAGAATTGACAAACAAAATTCATGATTAAAGAGTTTACTAAGGAAGTTTACAAGTCATAATGCCAGTGAAAAAGTCCTCAGGATAGTTGTTGATCAGGACATGTTACCAACTTCACTCAGGTCTGTTAATAAATGCCCAAATGGATATACCAGTCTGCTGAAAGCCTCAACCTGTGAAGGCATTCAGTTCAAACTCTATGGGTCAGCAAGCCCAGTTTCCTCAATTAAGTGCCCAGAGGTACCCCAGCCTCCTGCACCAAAGCACTCAGTTTTCCTTGCCCCATGGGTTGGGAAGTCCACTACTCTGTGCCATGATCTGGCTCCTGGTTCTGCTGCTGCTCCTCTGAGGTTCTGTCTTATGGATCCAGGAGGCTGACTGAGCAGGGATCTTGGATCCAGAGGGTGAGCTCCACTCCTGGCTCTTGCTAGTAATGAGACCCCCTCCCCTTGCTTTTCAGAGGGTGCATTTTATACAAGGCAGGATGGCAAT